GGGGAGGAGGGGTAGAAGACGGAGAGGAAAGGGAAGGAGGACATGGAGGTGAAGGACGAGGTAGAGAAGGTACAAGCATACAAATACACAACGTGAGATTTTCTGGGTACTTTGGCGTACAGATGTTGATTTCATACCATACTGAGCTAGGCTTGCAGTCATGATTTCCCTTACTTTCAAGATAGACACTGATCGATACCATGTATGGACTTTGTGTCATTGTGTACCCACTCCGGCTGATTGTTTTTCACTCATTGATCGAGTACCATATTGTGCTACATATTAGAACGAAGTACTATCGAGTCATTTTAGTAGTAAGTGCGATGTGTGTATTACAAAGTGCACTAGATGTTGTTTACCAGCGGCTTCAGTACAATAACTCTGGGTTCCTAAGACACACTCTGAAGGTCAATCCTTACTGTGACAATACGAAATTATAATTGCCATGGCTAAGTATACTAATCTCTAAATAGTAAGACATAGACACAAGTCCCGCCTAGTGTCCGGGGATTTAAGAAACTTACGACTACAGAGGAAGGTGACATTATTAATGTGCAACCAATACTTCAACAACAAAAGGTTAAGGCTACATAATCACATGATTGTAGGAGCTCTAGTTCAAGCCAGCCATCATGACCACATTGGATCTCTGCCAGCACTGTTCATAGTCTTCCTCACATGTGGAGACTTATGCTCACCAATAGAAGATTCAACGATGTCTTATGTGAATAGCCAGCATGGCGGTCTGTGGACATGGCTGGCATGGCCTACCTCTGCGCGAACGTCAGCAGGAATAAAACACATCTGCTCCTTCACATCTCGAACCGTCTGAAATTCAGCACTTGTGACAAACCGCCGACCAGCCTGCACACAAACATGCCAAAAGTTGTAGATTCATATAAACAGAAGTTCAATCGCAAGTTGTGAGGAGGGTAGAATGTCAGCAAACAGCCGCATTTAGTAATGCAAACAGGGAGGTACAATGGTCAGCGCCTGAGCAGGCTGACTGCTTGGGCAGGTTGCCCTGGTTTCGGCGCGCGCGGGGCTGGTAACCTTGGGCAAATAGCTATTCCAGTCAATATAGCCTTGCCCCAACAGTGCCAGATAGAAAGATAGCATTGAATCCACCTGAACCGTTTGGAACATACATGCAAGCGCACGCCGTGCGCTGTTTCGAGGACCCTTGGCGCTCAAGCGCACCCCAACAGAACAGCGCACGAGGGCCCAGGCCAAAACTGAACAAAAAAAAAAAAAACGGGTGCCGATTCGTCCCTGACCCCCCCCCCAGCGAAAATGGCTTTGGGGGCCCAATTTTTTTTGTAGCGGGCCACGCTCAAGCGCGGCCCGAAACGATTTCGAATTTTGTTTTGGGTGGGGGGGACCGTTTCCAAGTTTTCGCAGGTCGATACTGGCAGGGCTTCGGCGGGCTGTTTACTCGTTGTTGCAGCCGCCTCCAGTCCACTCCGGGAAGCAGCGCAGTCAGTCCCCCGTTACGAGCAGCGCCGACCTCCCCCTGCATTTGCATCATCACTGAGGCTGAGCTCTGGAGCGACCATCGCAGATTTCAACCCTCCTCCAAGGTGAGTCTTCACCAGCCCTCCTTCCCTCCCTCGAACTCACCTCCTCCCCCTCCTCCTCCTCTCCTGCTCCACATCTTCCACCTTCCTCCATCTCTCCTCCTCCTCGTCTCGGTATTGTCCTCTTCATTTTTTCCCCTAGTATTGGATCTTGTAATCGGAGCTTTGATAGTATCTCGGACTATCTACTCGTCACCTCCACCCCCTCCTACTCCCTCCTCCATCTCTCCTCCTCATCATCACTTCCTCCTCCACCTATCATCAGCCTCCCCTCCTCGTGCATCTTTCCTCCTCCTCCACCTCCTCCTGTCCTCCTCGTCCTCCTCCTTGTCAAGGTCTTGTCACCTTTTCTTGTGTAAACTTCGATTTGTGTCGGTATCATCTCCTCTACCCTTAGTCCTCCATCTTTCCTCCTTCATCTCTCCTCGTCCTCCTCCATCCCTCCCCGTCCATCTTTCCTCCTCCATCTCTCCTTGTCCTCCTCCTCCATCCTTCCTTGTCCATCTTTCCTCCTCCATCTCTCCTCGTCCTCCTCCTCCGTCCCTCCTCGTCCATCTTTCCTCCTCCATCTCTCCATCTCTTCTCCTCCATCTCTACTCTTCCACCTCTCATCCTCCTTGTCATGGCCTCGTCACTTTTTTCTTTTTTCTTTTTTGAATGGAAACTGAAATTCGAACTGTGATGGTATCTCGCCGTCCTCTGATGGTATCTCGTCGTCCTCCTCCTCCTCTATGTCTCCTCGTCGCCCTCCTCCCCTGTCTCCTCGTCCTCCTCCTCCTCTATGTCTCCTCGTCCTCCTCCTCCTCTATGTCTCCTTGTCCTCCTCCTCCTCTTTGTCTCCTCGTCCTCCTCCTCCATCCCTCCTTGTCCATCTTTCCTCCTCCATCTCTCCATCTCTCCTCCTCCACCTCTCATCCTCCTTGTCACTGCCTCGTCACTTTTTCTTTCTTTTTTTTTAATGGAAACTTTGGAGTTCGAACTGTGATGGTATCTCTTCGTCGTCGTCGTTGTCCTCCTCCTCCTCCTCCTCCTCCGTGTCTCCTTGTCCTTCCCCTCCATCCCTCCTCGCCCATCTTTCCTCCTCCATCTCGCCATCTCTCCTCCTCCCTCTCTCCATCTCCCCTCCACCTCTCATCATCCTTGCCACGGCCTCGTCACTTTTTTTTTCTTTTTTAATGGAGACTTTGAAGTTCGAACTCTCCTCGTCGTCGTCCTCCTCCTCCTCCTCCACCATATCTCTTTGTCCTCCTCCATCATCCCTCCTCCTCCATCTTTCCTCCTCCATCTCTCCATCTCCTCCTCCACGTCTCATCCTCCTCATCACGGTTTCATCACATTTTTCTTTGTTTTTAATGGAAACTTACAGTGATTATGAAATTAAAAAAAAAAAAAAAAGATTCCCGACGGGATATGGCCACACCCGACAGCGTGTGCCCTCGTGCGGTCCTGTACGGTATGGGTACGGGCCCCTACGGAGGTTGGGAGGTTCCGGACCGGACCCTGTACGGCGCACCGGACGGTGCGGCGCGGTGTGCTGTTGCAAGTATGGTTTGGAACCATTTGAAAGCATTCGGAAGCGCTTGAACGCGGTTGAAAGCGTCTGAAACTGTTTGAAGCCGTTTGATTTTTTTTGCCAACAAAAGAGAACTGTAAGCTGAGCTAGCAAAGGAAAGAGGCTAAGTTAAGCTAGCAAAGTCCACACGACTCCACAGCTCAAAATGAACGCTAAGCCAGCTACCGGTAGTAGGCAACCAAAACAGGCCAAGTTCACAAGCCTGTATCCCTGTGTTTGTTGTCTAATGCCAGATCCTTACCTTTTGTTGTGCCACTTCGGGAACAGCATTTTTCTCATCTGACAAATTCCCGGCTTGGAACATGACATGCTTTTTTTACGTCTACTGTCAGCACATAGGAAGAAAGACGCTGAGAGGGAAATGATCGGGTTAAAAATCAGCAATTTGAGGACTCTCGCAGATGAAGGAAATACTCTGTCACTACAAGGACACAGGCTGTGGTTCATGTCAAATATGTAGTACATACCCTCCGGAGCAGCAGCTGCATGTACTCACTGATATCCCTTCCTGCTAAATCTATCCTTCCAACTGCATGAGGCATCGAAAAACCCTGTTTCACGCAGAGGGTGGCAATTGAGAAGAGGTAACAATTACAACACATCCAGACGAGTCAAGATTGGGAAAGACGTTAATTCCTTCGAACGAACCGAAACATGTATCATGGGAGGTCAGATGGCATTGCCTGAGAAGTGACATGATGACATTGTGATTCACAACAAGTCTCAACCTGATGATCAAACACTGAATAACTCAATACTGTGACCGGTGATGAAATAGACTTTCCACAAGTTTCCAGGAACTTGCTTTTTTTGCTTCTTTTCTGCGGAGGGTATGATGATACTGTGACCGGTGATGAAATAGACTTTCCAGGAATTTGCTTTTTTTGCTTCTTTTCTGCGGAAGGTATGATGATGTTTTCATTCATCTTATCGCTCATCTAATCCCCCTCAGGATTTGAACTCGGGTCTGTTTATCAACAAATGATCACTATACCATTTAGCCACATGGGCTTTCCAGGAACTTTACGGAGCCCTTTTTCCTTTTCCTAAAGAATAAGGTAACACACCGTTGGATGTTGGAAGAACTGAGAAACAGAGCAATCAGCCAGTTGTCTGCAAGACTGGGGATTGACATGTGTAATGACCCGCCAAAACACAGACTGAGAACACTGCTGATTTCTGGGTTTTGCCGCTGGAATGTATGCCTTGCTGAGATTCCCGTGTTGTGCTGAGTTTTCTAAGTCTGTGTGTGTGTGCGTGCTTGCTGGTCCATGTGCATGTCTGAGTGCACGCCTGCCTGAGTGTGTGTGTGGCCCGACAGAGCATTCGTGTGTTGTGAGGCCCGCGGGGCCGGTACTTACCCGTGGGTGTGACTTTGAGGGTTGCAGCGGGGAAAACACTCAAGTAGCAGGGAGGAGGCCCGAGACACTTTAGGGCAGCGGAGGAAAAACACTCAAGTAGCAGGTAGGCCGGTACCACTCAAGTAGCGGTAGATGTGTCGGGAACTGAAGGGCGAGTAGAAGAAGACAGTTTGCAATTTTAGAGGTCCAGTAGCAGTAGGCTAGAGGTAGGCGGGTACCAGTCCACGTAGCCTGAGTGTAGGGCCTGTGCATACGATATCAGAGCCTGCAATGATGTTTCCCTCCGAAAGGGCGGAGGTACCAGTTGCTTCGAGGCCGCACGGCCTGGAAGTCACCGCCCAAGAAGCAAGTAGGCCGCTATATCTTCAGGTAGAGCGCTGGGCTCTACCTCATTTGCGGTATGCAAGTTCGGACGTCATGCTGCTTGAGTGGGCGCTGGTTCTCAGAGCGCTGCCTGGGAGGAAGGATGAGAGCTGGGCGCTCTGCCTGGTTATGGCGAGCAGCCCAGCCTGAGGAGGAAGAAGGGGGCGAAGGAGGAGAGTGGCGAGGTACCTACCTGGCTATGGCGGACACCATCTTCATCACCTTGTTAGGCGCTGCATCCGGAAGGCCCCAGTTGGGGTAGTGCCGCACCGAGGAAGCTTCGAGGCAGAGTCAGGCATGGCGGCGTGAAGAGAAGTGGCCATAGCTACTTTGCGTTGTCTTTTGCACAGGAGGGAAGAGCCCTTAGTAGTCCGCCATAGCCTAGGCCTGTGTGAGAAGAGGGAAGCCATGGCTATGGTGGACCTCTTGTTAAGCTGGCAGTAACAGGGAGCTTCGGATATTGATTCTGGTTCAACCACTCATTGTTATTACTATTATTATTTGGTAGAAGTGAAACGGTTTCACCCAGTTAACCCGACCATTGCAGACACAGAGACTCGATCCCGAGACCTGCGCCCAAACCCTGTACATTGACCCTGTGTGCTGAGTGAGATTCGATCCCTAGACCTGTGCCCAAACCCTGTACATTGACCTTGTGTGCTGAGTGAGATTCGATCCCTAGACCTATCCTGTACCCTGTACATAGGCCCAGCGATCTGTGTAGGACTTGATCCCTAGGTCTGTAGGTTAGGAGGTGAGTCTGTTACCAGTAGTCCTAAACAGTCTGTTCTAGAAGTCTCTACCTGAGTCTACTGTGGGCCTAGAGTCTGTATGTCGGTCTGTAGGTTCTAGAAGTCCGTAGGACCCTGTAGTCCAGTCCAGTCAGCAGGTACCAGGGGTAGGGGCTGCACGTGGGGAAGGTTCTGGACCACGCTGTGGGTTCCACACGTTTTGGCCAGAAGACCAAACGTCTGGAAGCTTCCCCGGGCCACACGTTTTGGCCCAGGCCCACACGTTTTGAGGCAGGCCCGGGTACCTCCGAAGAAGTATAAACAAAGAGGCAGCGTCCAGCCAGCCATTCGTTCGCCTGTGAGCCATGCGGAAGTGCTGCCTTGGTAACTTGTGCGTGGAGGTCTGCAGGTGCCCGGAGAGGAAGTGGGCAGTGAGGAAGACAGTGGCCATAGCTGGCCAGTGAGGTAGACGACGGCGGCTATCGCTAGGAGGAGGAAGACGACGGCGGCCATAGCCGCCCAGCTGTTGGTGCAGACAGGGTGTACAGAGTGTGTGTGTCTGTGCAACGTGGACATTCAGGGTGATCCTCGTACGTGCGTGCATGYGAGAGTGAGGGAGAGTGAGGCTGGTGGTAGAGACAGTGTTTGGCGGCCATAGCCGCAAGTTGTACAGTTGATTCAGACTCAGTTTAATACAAGTTCACTGTTGTTTCTGAGTTGAAAGAGTTCGGCTTTGCCATCGGTTCTCAAGTGTGCATGTTGTGAGCAAGTCCAGAGTCGAGTCTGATTGCAGAAGAATAAGATTGGCAGAGACGAGGAGGAGGAGGAGGAAAGTGGAGAGAGAACGGGGATTCGTCATTGGTCTTGCTGGTGTACATATTCTTCTTTTTCTTCTTCTTCTTCTTCTTCTTCTTCTTCTTCTTCTTCTTCTTCTTCTTTCTTCTTCTTCCTTCTCCTTTGGACTCTATCTCTTTGCAATTGTTTTCATTTCTTTCGCAATTGGGTGGCATTGTCTTTCCTTGCGAATTTACACTTCGGAAATAGCCAGGATCATAACACATGCAACTCTTAGTGGATGAGGACGAGGAGAAGCGACAGCTCAGAGTCCTTGAGTCCAAACGTATGGTCTGTCCACAGATTCATCATGCATCTAGCATATGGTGGATACCACTGCAAACTCTAATAATTCTCATTCATACCTACAACCACTGCTCATTCTCTCTCTCCATCTCACTACTCTGCCCATGCTCCATCAATTTCCCCTTGTTCCCACCCCTAATGCACTGACCTTTTGCTGTTACCCCTCTGCAACTCGGTAAGAGATTGCTCATCATGAACTCGAACGAACAATGACAGCAGACTGATGGTTACAAGAGCCGAGCCAAGTAGCAGACACCAATAGCAGTGACGAGCGGCAACTCTCTCTCTCTCTCTCTCTCTCTCTCTCTCTCTCTCTCTCTCTCTCTCTCTCTCTCTCTCTCTCTCTCTCTCTCTCTCTCTCTCCCTCTTGAGTGGAAAGACACCACTGAGCACGATGGGTCATGTCTCTCCTCGGGGCAAGAATCTTGGTTCGGCCAGATGGCTCAATTCGTATTGGTGTGTTTGGTAAGGCTGAGGCTAGGGCATTCCCTGTCATACGATATCCGAGTGCTTCGTCCAACGGCCCAGCTCATCAGCCCACAGGTGTGCTCACAGGACAGCTGACCAGGTTCAAGCATCTCTGTAACAATACCACCAACTTGAAAACTGCACCTCCCTGACACCATGAATGCTTGTCAGGGGCCATCCTCCAGTGTCCTGGCCAGAGGGTGGACTGTATAAGTACATGGCGGGCTGCGTCGGCTACCCACTTATGTTCCTCGGCTTTCGAACTGGTTTCGCCGCATGATGCGCTGGTCAATTGCTCACTCACTGCCAAATGTCAATTCTGCAGACAGGCCGCATCATCCCTCCACATGGTCACACGCAATGGGCCCCCACCCACACCCGAACATCATTTTCGAATACATCCAGCGCCATCCCTCCACACAGCCAAACGTAGCAGGCCGCCCTCTCCTGTCATTCCTACCAGAGTAGCAGAGCCTAATTTGGATACTACAACACAGCTGCAAACCAGGCCAGCTGCCACAGACAACGTAGACGTTGTCAAAGTGGCTTCAGGGGATGACGGCGTGCATCGTACCAATGCTGCTGCTGCTGAAAGTGTGCCTCCTCCTCCTCCTCCACCACCACCACCACCACCACCACCACCACCATCATCACCATCACGATCATCACCACCACCACCACCACCAGCTCCCCCCCTACATCATCCCCTCCAACAACTGCCTCCTCTACTTCCTCCTCCTCCCTTTCCTCCCCCTTGTATGCCTCTCCTTCGTCACCATCCTCATCATCAACACATTCATGGTCAGATCAGCCGTAACGGAGGCCTCATCGGCAGAGGCATTCACGGTCAGGTCTGCCGTCACTGAGGCCTCTTCGGTGGAGACATTCCCCATCTCCACCGTCCCCTCCGAGACAGCGGCCTCGTGTGTACTTCAACAGCATGATCATCGCGCTCGCGGTGGGGGTCGGAGTGACGCCATGCTCGCGACCGAATGGAACGATATCGTCGCTCCTAATACACACTACCCAATGTGGCGATGATTTTCACAGTGCTGCAGGTCTGCGTGTGCACCAAACACGAGGTGCAGTCACCTATGCAGCACTTGCACAACTAGCGGCCACTCTTAGGGCAACTGCAGCTGATCAGCTTCCACCTGTTGCATCTGACCCACCCACTTCTCATCCGCTTAGCCCTAATTGGTCCCCCGCTCGAACAGATAATGATACACCTTTTGTTCACCTGATGGAGGGCCCCACTGGAGATGCTCTCTCTCCAGAACGCATGCTATAGAGCCAATAGAGTTAATACAGCCTGAGGAACCTGACAGAAACAGTCAATGCCGGAATGAACCTCCCCCTACCGTGCAATCTGCAGAATTGAAGGAGCCCCCCCCTGCTGCACAATCTGCAGAATCAAATGATCTCATGGTGCGTACTATGTCGTTAATGCATGTCTCCTTGCTTACAATCCATATTCTGTTTCTGATTATGCAGACAATGTCCGCTTGATACAAGACGAGAACCATGCAAACTGCCAAGAAGATGACGGTACTGCCCGTGGCTTGACCATAGAAGTCCTGTCCATGGCACTTATGGGAAGGCGACTGCAACTCCAGCCCGCTCCACACAATTACATGCCAGACATGGACCCAACATTTCTGCATACATCCACTATCGTCCAGGGATAATTCATGGACCCTATGGGACAATGGTGGTAGGGTGCACATGGTAGGAAATATTAGTTCTTTCTACCACCGGGGTGGCAGAAACCCACTCGATCTGGCTGGTCGATCAGGAATAGTATGTGGATGCACACTCAGAAGCTCTACAGCCTTCGGAGAGCAATCCGTCTGAACCTCCCCCTCCCCTGTACATGACCAGCCAGCGTCCCTTCCGTATGTAGATCAGACAGATTCTACCTCTCCAGAGGATGGTGGCTGTGCCATGCCATTGTGTCTCCACACATCTACAGTTTGGTTCGCATGACCACGGCATAGTCTCTGCTCTGAACACTACGAACTTAGTACGAAGGGATGGTCACTGTCAGCCTCTGCTGTGAAAACTGCGACCCATTGTCTTGCACTCATTCCCCGCATCCGCTTATTACTTGCCCGATATGCTGTTGACATGCCATGCTTACATAGCTGCAAACGTCAGCCTGTTTTCCCGCTGGCACGTCAGCAACAACCCATGTGTCATAAATGTTTCCAGGAAGCTGTCATCAAAAGGATATGTCTCAACTGTGTGGACTATCCTCGATGCCATCACCCGCCACATACTCTCCTAGCATGTCCGACATTCAACGTAAGGCATACACCTGCTGCAACCGCAATCGGATATCCTTCATCCTTGCCAGACGAACAACAGATGCATCAGCCCGAGGAGAAAAATAGACTATCAGATGAACCACCTGCAGAGCGCTGCACAGCCAGGGTGAGCTGCTGCAGACCAAATCTTCCAACCGTTAAACACCCTTACTCTGGATCAGCCCTCGGCGTCGCCTGCCCATAGAGAAGCAATAATGATTGTGGTCGCATGCTTTGTGTGATGAGGATTATGAAGCATAGCCCATGCACGCATTTGTTTTCATGCGTATGATGACACATCATGACAGTCAACATTGCACTCATGCATGGCACCCTGATATGTCATGTCCAATCTGTAGGCGGGCTGGGACGGCAATGCCTATAAATTGTGGTCGGCATGCCTCTGTGTTCCTAGCATGTAGGTAGGAGCCACGTAGCCTGTGACATCTGTCTACAGCGTGCCATTCGATGCAGCAACTACAACTGCGAGAATTGGATGCACCGCTTCCACAGTCCACACGCGAACCAGTCCTGCCCCGTCTGCAGGGGTGGCCACTTACCATACGCAATGGCAGCTCCTCAACTCAAAATCCCTTGCAACCCAAACACTGACTGGCCTCTTGTGGTATTCTAGAGTAGCGAGCTCCAGCCATGAGTATTAAGAACCCTGTGAAGTTCGTCCTTCCTCTATTCTGTTCTTTGCCTCTCCACTTCCCTCCTCTACCACTTTTCCCTCCCTCACACCTCACTTGCTATAGAACTCCAACCCATACCCCTTCCTTCCTCCCTCCTCCTGTGTACTACTAGTAAATGCAGATGAATGAGCACCATTAAGAGAACCAACGCTGAAGATCTGCAGAAAAATGAACGGGAGTATACCTCCCCCTTTACTCTGCCTCTTTCCAAAAAGTGCAAGTGGGCCATTGAGGCACACTGGGATGTGGGCAGCTGGCACTCGTCGGCAATGAGCATCGGCAGCCATGTACGTGAGAGGCACAGTAAAAAGGGAGCTGCAAGAACAAATAGAAGGGGTACCCAAAAGAAAGCCGAAGTAAAGATAATCAAGAAAGGAATATAACGGATCTATTTGCTCCATGGTGCTTGCTGTAGAGGTAAAACTGTTTCGTTGTTGGAATGGCTCATCTCAAGTGTGCTTCATTGTCTGCAATTGAGGTACAAATGCATCCATTTAGATCTACTCATCTGCGTGGAACAGGGGCTGTTGCGGTGAAAATCTACAACACGCACGCACACCCACACACACACAATCAGTTTTATGTTTGTCTGTTTTCCACTTGTTGTCTGTCCTCCCTCTGATCTTTTTCTCTAAGTATTTTTGCTTACCCAACTGAGCACCCTTAAGTAGTGACAAACAGTCGGTGGTTCCTCGTTTGGAGTGTCTACTGCACTCTTATGGGGGCCGCTCGGTTCGGGATGTCTGTGTTGCCTGTAGGTGATGACGGATGTTTGTCGGAGTGACTCCCTGGCTCAGTGGGTGGTGGGAACCAACAGTCTGCGGGGTTCAATCATGATGTGAGTAGGTCAAGTGCTGCTTTGCTCCGTGTTAGATGTGTGGACATCCTCGTCTGCGCTCCGCCGCTGCCCTGCTGCCTGTCCCGCTTGCTTCGCGTGTGGCTCTCTGCGGATTGCTGTGTTCACTGCGTGGTGTGGTCGTGTTGTTGGTGTTCCCTTGCGCTTCGCTGCTTCGCTGCCGTGCTGCTCATCCGCTGGTCGTGCCTTCCGTGTTTGATGCTTGTGTGCCCTGTAGGTTGGTTGCCTTGTGGCTGGTGCCTTGTGCTCCGCTCCACGGTTGCCGAGCTGCTGGTCCGCTCGCCCTGTCATCCTTTGCAGTGTGGTTGTCCTACTTGTGTTGCCTTGTGCTTCACTACATGGTTGCCGCGCTGCATGTCCTGCGTGCCATGTCGTTCCTTGCAGTCGTTTTTGGCGTTGTGCAGCCATGTTGCCTCTACTGTGTTGCCTGGTGCTCCACAGGGTTGCTGCCCGCTGATATGTTCCGCTTGGGGACAGTCCGCCTTCAACAAGGGTCAAAGGGTTCATGACCCAAACCATCAAATACGGATATTCCGCAGATTGTCGAGGGTTCAGCCTCCTGATGAGTCGGTGCAACTCCGACGAAACAATCCTTCACCATCAGTTTTATTTTTTTTCGGTCTTTGAAACTTTTATGGACTTGTACTTTTTTTCTGATTCGCCTGCCTTGTGTGCTTGTTCCTGTCTGCCGTCCTATTACTTTGTGCCTTCCAGCCCGCCATGTCGGTCGAGTGCATCATATGCAAAGAAAGCAAGCAATGGAGTCACACAGTCGAGGCAATGGAGTCACACGGTCAATGCAGAATCAGCGATAATGCATTTGTAGGCACACAGCATGGGATGATACAGAAAGTGCACTCAACCCTTTAACTTCGTTCTGGGGTGAGGGGGAATCTTGTTTCGTTGGCCAGGAGGTTTGGACTCCTTGATGGAAGCAGTGCCATTCCCCCTGATTAGTAATGGCAGACCTACGAATGCACAAAACTGTTCATCCTCTTGCTCGTACAGACCAACAGCCTTGGAACTCTCCACTTCGGCGAGTTTAGCCCCTGGGGTGGTTAGACCACAGTCTGGATCGTCCTCAGAAAGTCCAATCTGGCTCAGCCATGCTGTATCCCATGAAGTGCTTGCCATCTAAAGATTGCTTCGGGGAAAACCCTTTGTTGGTTGTAGAGTCAGCAGTCTGAAGTAGCGTACACGAAAATGCCTCCACTTGAATGAGGCTGCAGGTTACCCACTCCTGATACTTCCTGGTGGTGAGTGGCGAACGTAATCAAGAGGGGCGGCACTCTGTACAGCTTCGGACTTCTGAATCTCATACAGCGATCCTCATATTGCTCTTCCAGTATTGTAATGAGCTCCTGGCATGACTTGTACTTCAACTCCAGTGGAGTAACGAGAACAGATATGGGGTTCACATTACAGAAATAACCCCCATTACATGATACTACCATGATGGTATGTGAATGAATCTGTCACCTAGTTCTGCGAAGTAAACACGATCAGAGGCAGGAATCGAAGACATGGTCACAGAGTCACATCAGGAGTCACAGAATTGATACAGTTTGTTGGACTTGCACCACTGTCTGGGATACAGTATTGGTTAAATGAACGCACTGAAATCAAGATAAGGAAAGAGGGCCCACCTCAACCACAGGTACAGCTTGGGTCACTCCGTCTCCTGACTCCAAGACCAGCCCTGTTGTTCGACCGCCGGCATATCTGCATCATAAGTTCATTAAAAAAAATACACCACGACATCATGTATCATTTCACAGGTCAAATGGGCATCAGGTTTATCATGGGACATGCATCCATCTGTGCTTATGTGTTATGATCCTGGCCAATTTCGAGATACACATCCATCAGATAGTACAATGCCGCCCAATTGCAGAAAGAAATGAATGAACTTGAGAGAAGAGAGAGGATTAGAAGAAGAAGAAGAAGAAGTAAGAAAGAAGAAGAAGATGATGTACACCAGCATAGACAAATGACAAGGCTCTTCTTCTTCGCCCAACAATCTCCTCCTCCTTATCTCCCCCTTCTCTTATTCATACAAGAAATAAYAATACAATGTTGAATAGCTGATCCAGAATCAATGTCCGAGTCCCTCTTCTACTGCAGGTATCACTTGAGGTCCACCATAGCCATGGCCACCTCCCCCACTCTTCACTCTCATAGGCCGAGGCTATGGCGGACTACTAGGCCTTGCCCAGATGCCCAAAGGACAACCCAAAGCAGCTATGGCTGCTCTAGCTCAGGCCGCCATGCCCAACCCTGCCTTGAAGCTTCTTGGTGTGGCTCTCCCCAGTTGGGGACTCCCTGCTGCAGCGCCCACCAAGGTGATGAAGTTGGCTGCCACCGAAGCCAGGTAAGTACCCCTGGCGCTCCTCCCCCTTCCTTCCTTCTTCCTCCCTCGTGTCCTTCTCCTTCCTCCCCAGCAGCGCTGCTCCAACCAGCGCTCCACCAGTGTGTCGCCAAACTTGCACACCGAAAAAGAGGCCGGACTCTCCGCCCGGTCGGAAGATATGGCGGCCTGCTTTGCCTCTTGGGCGGTGACTTCCAGGCCGTTCGGCCTTCCAAGCAACAGGTACCTCCTCCCTTTCGGAGGGAAACATCATTGCAGACTCTGATATTGCCCGTACAGGCCCTAGACCCAGACTGGTTGGACTGGTCTCCACCTAGACCTAACCTACAACTACTGGGCCTCTAAAAATGCCACTTTTGTCTTCTTCTGCTCGGTCTCCAGTACCCGCACATCTACCCCTTCAGGGTGCGGTACCGGCCTACCCGCTACTTGAGTGTTTTTCCTGCTGCAATCCCTCAATGCCACGGCCACAGGTAAGTACCGGCCCTAAGGGCCCAATGAATGAGCAAGTGCCCTTGCGGGCCACACACACACTCAAGCCAACCAGCACTCAGACAGGCACGGCCGCACACACACTCAAGCCAACCAGCACTCAGACAGGCATGCAGTCCAGCAAGTGTGCGCACACAGACTTATGCATGCAGTCCAGCAAGCGTGCGCACACAGACTTAGTAGCAAGCGTGAAACTCAGCAGGGCATTCAGTCTATGGGCAAAACTCAGAAATCAGCTGTGTGTCCATGTTTGGACGGGTCATCACACGACTCCCCCCTCAAGAGCGAGGTCCCTTCGAGCGAGTAACTCATTCTGAGTCCTCGACAAACGCATCGTAAGCAAGCAAGGCAAAGAGGTTCCTAGAGTACTCTGTTGCAGTGAGTCTTGCAGAGATCTTAGGTACAGCGTTAGTGGCGATTTGTCGCTCGTAGGCTTTGACAACGCGCGGTACGCTGCGTAGCAGTTCCTGTTCAGAGATCTAGTACAGATCGTCTAATGGGTGATACATGAAGTGAACCTGGTACTGTCTGTTGCATCCCTTCCCTACGTGCTGTTTGATTCTGTCTATCTCATGCCCGCCTTTGATCGCACGAGGGATCATGTCTTCGCGATAGTCGAACGTCTTAGCATCACGGTGGAGGTACAGTTCGGATGCGTGGAACACGGGGTATGTGCGCAGATGGGCTGGCACATCAACGACGTACGAAGGGCCAAAGTGATCTTCACCAATCACATCCAAAACTTCCCAGGGCCCATGATAGATTGGGAGAAGTTTGCGTGAGACTCCCTCTTCTTCTGAGAATTCAGACATCTTGACCCAGACATAGCTTCCTACCTGAATATCCGACGGTCGGCGCTTCTTGTTCGCATGATGGATCATGGCGTGTTGTCGCTTGGTCATAGCTGCAATGGCAACTTTGAGCAAGCGATCATACTTGCCCCTGAAGCCAGGTCTGTCGGGTGTTAAACCAGCTGGCTGCTCAGGGAATAGGTAAGAGAGCGGATACCGGATCTGCCAACCATAATGCAGCCTGTTGGGTGTCATGCCGGTGGCAGAGTGGACGGAGTTGTTGTATAACCCCTTAACGGAATACAGCTCTTCATCCCATGTTTCCTGATCCTGAATAATCAAAGCACGAAGAAGTTGAAACACAGTCTAGTTGATCTCCTCAGCCAAACCATTGGCTTCGGGGTGTCGGCCAGATGTCATACACAACTTGATCCCCAGTTGAGACGTGAAGTCCTTCCATTCAGTACTAATGAAGCGCGGATCCCAATCGCTCACAAGAGTCTTCGGGGTTCCGAACTGCAGAATGTACTTTTGTTGGAACTCACGAATCACTAGTTCTGTTGGGGCGTGAGGCGGCAAAGGGATCAGGTTGAGGAACTTAGAGAATCGGTCAACAATCACCATGACCTGTGAGTAGCCGTTCTTACTTACCTTTCCCATGTCGGTGAAGTCGATGGAGACAGACTCCCCAGGACCATCGGGAATGGGTAGGGGTGTGAGTAACCCCATCGGCTTTTGTCTGCATGGTTTGATTCGTTGACAGATTTGACATTCAGCCACAAACTTTTCAGCAGTCCTTTTCATGCCAGGCCAATCAAACTGTCTCAGCAAATTTGCGTACGTTTTTGCCATGCCGAAGTGTCCGCTCCGGCCGTGAGCCAAATCCAAAAAGTGCGTGCGGAGAGGCTCATGGTTGGGCACACACAAACGGTCGTGATTCCCGTAGCGACGAAAAATCAGTCCTCCATACTCGTGAAAATCAGGCTGACTGCTAGGGTCAGCCCGTAGCCGCTCAAAGATGGAACTAAGCTCCGGATCCTTGGCGGTGTGCTCTACGAGCTCCTCCTTCAGTTTCTTCCGGAGGTCATAGGATTTGACAAGGCAAGTCATGTACTCTGGGTGGCGAGACAAAGCGTCAGCTACTCGGTTATAACAACCCTTTTTGTGTCTTAACTCAAAATCGAAAATGTCAATTTCATGGAACCAGCGAAGCAAGGTAGGGGACAGGGTAGTTTGCTGTTTGATCCACTTCAGAGTCTCATGATCCGAGAATACTTTGAAGTGGCATCCCAAAAGATAGTGTTTCCAGTGATCCAACGCCATACGCAAAGCATAAAGCTCGCACATGTAGGTGGAAGTGGCTACCTTTACGCTGGGCATGCGTTTGCTATTGTACTCGAGCGGCCGCAAGCCATCGCCGTCATCTTGCTGCAGCACTGCGCCGATTCCATACTGGCTCGCATCCGTAGTAACTACGAATGTCAGTTTGGGATCTTCAATGCGGAGTACTAGGTAACTTACCAAGACTTCTTTCCAAGCTTGAAAGGCATTCGTGCACGCGGTGTCCCAAGAATAGGGAACATTTTTACTGGTCAACCGCGACAACGGACGAGCAACAATAGAGAAGCGGGGCACAAACTTTCGATAGTATGACGTGAGACCAAGAAAGGAACGCAGTTCGCGAATGTCTGAGGGTTGAGGCCAATTGCGTATGACCTCAACCTTGGTTGCCTCAGGCTCCAGGCCTGCATCAGACAACCGATGCCCAAGATAGATGATGCTATCCTTCCCAAACTCGGATTTATCTAGGTTGAGATGGACTTGCGTCTTCTTGAGGATATTGAGCACTTCCTCAAGGTGCTTGAGGTGTTCCTCCATGGATTTGTTGAAGATCAGGATATCATCGAGGTAGACCACCACGAACCGGCCAATCTGTTTCGCGGAGGACCTTGTCCATGAGGCTTTGGAAGGTGGCTGGTGCATTCGTTAGACCGAAGGGCATTACGGTAAACTCGTAAAGCCCATCGCGTGTTTTGAACGCAGTCTTGTGCTGGTCCGCAGGATCGACTTCAATCTGGTGGTAGCCAGACTTCAGATCGATCTTGGAGAAGACCTTGCACCCACCTGCGACGTCAAGCAAGTCATCTATGCGGGGCAAGGGATAGGCGTTCTTTCTTGTGATGCAGTTCAGACCGCAATAGTCAATACACATGCGAAGTTTCCCTCCCTTCTTTGGAACAAACAAGACAGGAGCACCAAATTCAGACTCACTAGGCTTGATCCACCCTTAGTCGATCATTTCATCGATCTATAGTCGGAGTTCCTCCAACTCGCCAGGTCCCATTCGGTATACGCAGCCCTTGGAAGGAACAACAGCCTCGGCCAACTCGATGGTGTGTCGGACCGATCGCGTGGGGACTCCACGTGGTTCGGCCAGAACTTCTGGGAACTGATTGAGTAGGTTTTGGATGTCTGGTGGAACTGGAGGGGGTGGAGGATCAGCAAAGGGATCACCAAGATCCGGTCGCAGGTCGCATATAGAGACGACCGAATCTGAAGTAGGGTTATTAGGACCATTAGAGGGTAGAGAAATAGAGGTGTTGCGAGTAGTAGTACTAGAAGTAGTATCACTGGCTGAAGTAGTAGTGGAATTCACCGCAAAAGTAGATGGCACATGGGCAGGACGAACAAAGGCAACATACAACTGTTCGTCCTCCTTGTGCTTACGCCATTTCTTGCAGGACTTCATAGCATTCAAAAAAGTCACTGGGATTCGTGCTTCTCATCCAAGAGGACGGGAAGCTCGTTCCCTTGTGCATCTTTGACCATGAAAAGTGACTCCTTCCACTTGGTCCATTCGCATTGGGACTGCGGCCAGCCCAAGCCAAGGATGGCGTCAAAGGGGCACTTGTCAAGGACATAGAAGTTTAACGCGTGGGTGACAGTTTTGTCCTTGTCAAAGGTAGTGTGCACACCTTTGACTGCGTGCGTAGAAGAGACAACCTCTTTGTTGCCGACTTGGGTTCGACAAGGGTTCTGCAAGGCCACTTGCTTCATCCCCAAGCCCACTT